CCAAGGCACCAAATGAATGATAAACCGCAGTGGAGCTGAAGGCCGCTGGAGCTGAGGAGCTGAGGAGCCGAGGAACTAGGAGCCGAGGGTACCTCGTCGGCCCACTTTCAATGACTACCATCTCCTCCACTGAAGGTCTTCTCGGATCCTAATTTCTCCAAAGGTAGAAAGCACTTTTTGTGACTCACGGCTCAGCACCAACCACACGGCATACACTTAGAGATCTGGCAGACAGAATTAAATTGAACACTGAAGTTCAAATACTGAAATCACGCAGAAGGGAAAGGGCAGTGCTCAGAACACTTACAGATGACATCAGTGAAATGTGTCACGTAATCAGATCCATGATTACTTATATGGTTTAACTGATAAGGATTCCGACAAAGAATTAAATTTAAATTTAATTGAAATTAAATTAAAGCCAAAATCCTGATGGGAGGGTAAATATTTCTCAAATTTACTAATAGCACAAAATCTTTATTATAGTGAAGTACAGCTTTTTTGAACCTAAGATTATGGCCCTCAAAATCTGGTTTTAAACTTTTCACCACAGTCCATTTTAGGGAACCTTGTTATTTAAAAGAATTTCTCCCATCCCCCCTCAGGTATCATCTCTCTGTATAGCCCTGGCTGTCCTGGAACTCAGCATTTGTGTCTACTTCTCAGTGCTCCTACCCAGACCAACACTAAAAAACTCCAAAATGTCCACTAACAAATTTCCTCCACTGAAGGCAAGGGCCTGCCGAGGTAACACTTTCAAATGCCCAGGCTGGGGGAACAGACGCATGTAACACTTATCTGGGCACATTTCTGTCTAGACCCCCAATTACCCCACCAAGATGTCAGAGGCTCTGCCCCACAGCTCTCCTCATAACCAGGAAGCTGTGGTCAGTAACCTCTGAACAAAGTTATAGCCCTGTGTGTCATGCAGTCAGTACTGAACTATGACACACGGGTCATCTCTACCGCTGGAGAACTCACCCCACCCCACGGCTCCGGCAGTGAACTGTGAAAAGTGAGTAATTACAGCATCCCCAGGGACACAGCTGGCTCAGAACAGCCATCAAGTCTCACTCCTGTGGCTTCCTTGTGACACCACATTCTCTCTTGTTTTCCCCAAACATACGGAGGAAGACAGACCAAAGCTGGTGGACCCCTCCATTCACGTTCACATACCTTAACATTATGGTTTTGCTTTGTTTTTTACATACCTGGGAATTTACAGTGAACAACACAGATGAGACCTTTGCTCTGGAAAGCACACACTCTAACAGATAGAAACTATAATACCTAGCTTTTCTCAAGTCACACAAATCGGGTTGGGGTGTTACTCTGCAGCAGAGTATTAGAGAAAGTCCTCTGAATATCGCCTCATTCGGCTCACAGCTCTCATCTCCTGGATCCAACCCACCCACAAGTTTACTCGACCTCAGATCTTTCTGCTGTTTTTGTTTCCTAAGGAAAAGAAACCTGACAGGAAAGCTAAATAAAGGAGATTTGTTTTGTGAAACTTCTAGACCCCTTAACAGCCCAGTTTAGACCTGGAGAACTCTACAATTACAATCCCATGTATGAGGGGTGTGTGTAGGTGTGTGTGTGTGTGTGTGTGTGTGTGTGTGTGTGTATGTGCATGCATGAGTGAGCTTGTGTGTGTGTGTGTGTGTATGCATGAGTGAGCTTGTGTGTGTGTGTGTGTGTGTAATTTCTTCAGCCAGCATCACCGTTTAAGTGAACGTATGCAGTCAAACCTCGGCCCCTGCTCCCATCCTTCTCTACAGGAAGGCAGATCTAGAAGGAACTGCAGCTCAGGAAGCAGGGGGAAACCGTCACACAGTTCTGCAGAGTAAGAAGGATCTGGGTCATCAGATGGCAAATGGGACAGTGATGAGCAGAACGCAGAGAAAGAGAAGCAATCGGAGCCAACAGGCTGTAGGAACCTGGAATTCTCCTTTGATGACGACCAAGACTAATTTGGCGGGGTAGGAGTAGCAGGACAGAGTCTAGCCATGTAGCTCTGGCTGGCCTTAAAGTCTTAGAGATCAGCCTGGCCCTGCCTCCCAAATGCTGCTGGGGTTTGTTATTTTGTCTTTGTGATATTTAAAGACAGGATTTCACTTTGCACCCAATAGGCAGGCTTCAAATTCATGGCAATCTTCTTGAATCAGAGTCTCTGGAGTGATGAGATTACAGGGGTGCCTCCATGCCCAGCTCAAGTATGCAGTTCCGACACCTGCCATACCATGTTAACACCTCACTGCTCTACCCCACCTCCCCTTCTCCCCAAAATTTGCCTCCCCTGTCCCCAGATCTCACACAGAGCTTCCCACACACCCCAAAGGGCTTTTTGCAAGCTCTCTTCCGTTCTCCCTTCTTTCCAGGCTTCTCTTGGCAATGTCTATCCGACACGCACAGCTGACCTGTCAATCACCCACGTAGCAAGCACCTCACAAGTTCGATCCCAAGCGGACCTTCCTCTCACTGCTCCGTCAGGTGTTTTCAACTGTTCCCTCTCAAGCCTCCAACATTCCCTATCTCACTAATAGTGTTGTCATTAAAGGAACAACTAATATTTATTCAGTGCTTGGACTGCACCACACTGTGTCAAGGGCATTACATGCGCAATTTCATTTGATCTTCAAACCTTACTGAACAGGTACTGTGACTATTCCCTTCATGTTAGGGAATCAAAACTCGGATGGGATAGTAATTCTAAAGTCAACTGAAAGAAGCTGACCCCTCTTCTGGCTCCGTGAGCAGCTTGACTAGTCCACACCCGTGCCCCAAATTAAAAAAAAAAAAAAAAAAAAAAAAAAGCAGGAGTCAGGGCTTGGTGGCGCACACCTTTAATCCCAGCACTCGGGAGGCAGAGGCAGGAGGATCTCTGTGGGTTCTAGATCAGTCGGGTCTACATAGTGAGTTCCAGGGCAGTTAGAGCTACACATTAAAACCCTGTCTCACAAACAACAAAACAAAAAACAAAACAAACCAGGAATCACCTTTCATTAATGCTATCTAGTCACTCACCTGTGGGTATTAGCCCATACCTCCCGAATGCCACACCAGCTTTCTTCACAGACTGACAGCCAGCACTGGCTAAGCTCTTACTAAGCCCTTGTCTAAGCCGTAGCCATGTTTTCTTTTTTTCCGGTTTCCAAATCCTACCAGACAAAGATGCTGAAGAACCAAGAGGCTGCCCGTGTGTGTGTGTGTGTGTGTGTGTGTGTGTGTGTGTGTGTCCCAGAGCCCACACACAGGGGCCACACGGCAGGGCCCCCAGCCTCTCTCTCACCTCTCCTCTGGACCCCACCACCCTCCAGCCTGCCGCTTTATGGAATACAAATCTTACCATAGCATTAACCTGCTGAAATTAACGCCTCACTACCACGGACTGGATGAAGTCCAAATGTCTTCATGTGCTATACAAAATCCTCTCTTTTTATCATTTCAGCAAATATCTATGTGTCCACTTGTAGAAAGTGCCATGAACCCCAAGATGGTCAACAAACCAGCCCTGACCATTACTTCAACCCCAAACTTTATGCCCTTCAGATTAGCCATGTGCACAGCAGAAATGTCACATTCTCTACACATACGCATTTAGGATGTTCCTGGAGAAAGCCCATACCAATTTGCAGACTGCCTAGGATTTCTCAGACACATTCTAGGCAGAAGTACTTTTAAGTTCCCACATCACTTTGTTCAAAATACTCCGAGGTAGAACTAGTGGACCAAGAGACACATGGACCCTTAGCAAGGTTGGTCAAGAAATGATCTCTTCCAACCAACGCCCGGCATGCTGTAGACTCCGAGTGGCTAAATGTAGACACAATGAAAAGGTTCAGACTTGAAGAGGAGAGGAACAAAATACAGAATTAGAATTGAACAGTGGACTGAATTAAAAGCAATGTGATTTTAGTGCTGTTCCGACATGGCCTACATTTGACCCCTATGGGAAAACTCACGTGGAATTTGGACAGGCTAAAATGGCAAAACCTTGTTAGTTCTGGCTCAACAACGATCCAACTGCCAAATAGGACACTAGATTCCCCCACCTTCCTTCTTCACCTGCCAAAGTCCTTTTGTCCAAAGGTGTGGGGGAGGGTGTTCAGATCTATGGGAGCAAACAGAATTGACCTACTGAGATCCAACTTCGTCTGTGCTGTGTCACTGTACCGGCTAGAGAAAAAGCAAAATGTGTCCTGGGAAGGAGGCCAACCGCTAAGTACTGTGACTACAAGAATGTGACATTCTTAAAGTGAAGGCAGTTTGGATAAACTGGAGCTCACAGATTCCTCCAACTGTCCTTGCCATTGGTTTCTGTGTTGTTGTTTGTTTTTTGTTTTGTTTTGTTTTTAATTGGCGGGGAGTGGGGGCGCACGTCTATTCTAACCCCACAGCACTCAGGAGGCAGAGGGAGGCGGATCTCTCCGTGAGTTCCAGGCCAGCCAGGGCTACATAGTAAGAGAAGAAAAATCGATTCGATAAAGCCACGCGGAAGCGTCCTTAGGCTTCTGGCAAAGACACAATCTTAAATGTAAACAGGAATACTATAACACTCCATTTAAAAGTCCTTGCGTGAAACGTGGCAGAAAGCTTTGAAAAGCCAGCAAATGCTTCCAACCCGAGATGCATATTTTGGAAACGATCCTCCCCTTCCCCCCGAAACACGTCAAATCTGTCTCTAGCCTGAAGGGAAAGGTGAGAATTCTCCCGCAACAGGCTGGGGCGGGGAGGAGGCTCTCTCTCTGCTCATCCCTTCCAGGGAACAAAACCAGAGGGCAGCTAGCTAGCGCCGCTTCGGCTCCCGACAACGTGCAGACGCCAAGTGCGAGAACTCTTCCCCCGGAGCTCCCCGCCTTCAAAAGCAAGCGCCGCGCGGAACCGCACCGCGGCGCCCGGAACCGGCACCCGCGCCGGGCCGGACTCCACGCGGCCCCCAGCGGTTCCCCGGGGGGTGGGGGTCCCCCTATCCCGACGCCACACCCCGTCACCGCCCGCACCTGAGGCGAAGTAACTCACTCGGGGAAAGCGGCGGGCTCCCCGCGGGAGCGCTGACGCGGACGCCGCCCGGCTCCGCTCCGCCGGGACTCACCGCCGCCGATTTCCTGGCGAGGAGCAAAGTCCGGCCAAGACTTCTCAACCGCCCCTGCTGCCTTTCCCCTCGGGGGCGAGCGCACGGGCCCAACCCGACACGCACCTGAGCCAATCAACGGAGGAGGGAGGCGGGACCGAGGGCGGGCCCTGAGCAGCTCGGCCAATCAAGACGCTCGAGGGGCCGGGTCGGCCCTGCTCATCACGCCCGAGTTAGAGTGAGCGCGCTCCGCCCTCCGCCATCGCTCCCGGCCGGATTCTCCCTCCAGACTGACACCGAGGAGACGCTCGGGAAGTGTCTGCGTGCACCCTCGGAGCGCCACGCCGGGCGTGGGACAGCTGGAGGAGGGGAGGGCCGAGGGACCGGGCTGAGGGCGAACAGGTGGCGCGGGGCGCCTGGACGTATAGGTGTGCGCGAGCGGACAGCCGGGGTGGGGCGGGGACCCAGCCCGGCCGGGGTCAGGTGGGAGCTGGGAGGACGCACCTGAGGGGCAGGGAAGGGCGGTTCCGTGGGATCAAAGGGGAAAGGAACCGCAGGTCCACCACGGGTAGGCGTGAGCGCCTAAGGAAGGGGGGCGGTGCTCCAAAGTCACATTTCTCTCCCAAAAGAAAGACAGACGCCGCCCTTGCACCTGATGGAAATGTACATTTGCACCCCAGGGAGAAAAAAGAATGCCCGCCGCCGCCGTAAGCCACAGTATGGCCAGGAAAGTCATCTCCGCACACGAGTCTCTGCTTTTTCAAGGTTGCAAGGTGCCCTAGGAAAGAAAGGCTCCTGAGGACTCCAGCCCCGGGGCAGTCCCGTCCCTGGAGGGTCTAGCAGAGCAGGGGCCCAGCTCCGATCCTAAATAGCAGGCGTCCCGGGGCGACAGCGAGGGGCAGCGCTCCGGGCCAGCACACCGGGACAGCCGGTGCTCCGCGGCCGCCCAGCTTCCGCAGGTCCAGGTGAGCGGTCCGGCCCGCACAGGGGCGTGGCCTGGGGGGGCGGGCCCTGTCTTCGCTCCGCCCCTCAGGCCGGGCCCTGCCGCGCCGCTGCGGCTCCGCCCCCCTCCTTCCGTCCTCCGCTCCTTCCGTCGGTGGTTTCTTCCTTCCTGCTCCGCCGGCGTCTGTCGCGACATGGGGAAGAGGTCGTTTTTCGCCAGCACCACCTGAGGAGCCCCTGGAGCCGCGATGGAAGAGGATCAGGAGCTGGAGAGGTAAGGTGGGAGGGGAAAAGTGGAGCGGGGCGGCGGGACCGGCCAGCGAAGCGGGTAGCGGAAGGGCACGCGGCCGGCTGCGGCCCGGTGGGGCGGCTGGGCCCGACCCGAGGCGCTGGGGAAGGGGAGGATCGAGAGTCGAGCCGGGCCGGGGTGGGAAGAGGGAGGAGAAGCCGCGGGTCTGTTTATACAGAAGAGCTCAGAGGGACACTGGCCCCCCGGGAGGGGAGAGGAGTTGGGGATCCAGCTCTCAGTGCCAAACTGCCACCCCCATTAGAACTGCCTCGTGTAAGGTCGCGCACCGGGCGCTGCTGGCGTGTTGAGTCGGCTAGAGTTACTGCAACGCCGCTCTGTGCAGACTGCTCGCAAATTCTCTCTGTCCGCCAAATTCTCCCTCCTGTTAAACTCCTCACTTCCTCTCACTAGTTTCCTTGCCTCTTTCAAGTGGAAGCCGTAACAGCCTGCCTGCCACCTTGATAACTCGTGGTTGCCATTTTTATGCTAAAGTAATCGTGTTTTTTATGCCTGTCAACTCCCTTTTCATGTTCCAGCAGGGCCTACCCTTTTGTAACTCTGCCCCTTTCTTTTGCTCTATTCAAAGAAAGATTTTTACAAACATTTAACTTTGTGCTTTTTTTTTTTCCCCCGGAGATGACTCCCCTTGTGGGCAGTCAACTGGAGTAGAGAGAAACTGGAGTTAAATAAGGATAGAAACTGTGGAGGCAGGAAAATGAGGTAGTGAGTCTTAAAAAGATAATCACAAAACAATATTCCGTATGATCTCATTCTTACAAAACAATATGTGTGTAGAAAAATATCAGGACTGAAGACCTCAATGGCTGAAGGCGAGAGGAAGACAGCCTTGGAAATGGTCCAGGCAGCTGGAACAGATAGACAGTGTGTGACGTTTGTACTGCACGATGAGGACCATACCCTAGGAAATTCTCTGCGGTACATGATCATGAAGAACCCAGAAGTGGAATTTTGTGGTTACACTACGACCCATCCTTCAGAGAGCAAAATTAATTTGCGAATTCAGACCCGGGGTACACTTCCAGCTGTTGATCCGTTTCAGAAAGGCCTGAATGAGCTCATGAATGTCTGCCAGCATGTGCTTGACAAGTTTGAGGCCAGCATAAAGGATTATAAAGATCAAAAGGCAAGCAGAAATGAACCCACATTCTAGTCCCTCATGCAGGGTACAAGGAGGACCACCCTCATGATGGTGCAGAACCCAGGACTAGAGTCTGATTGCAGCCTGCTCTGACCTGTAGAAGGTGTGGTTCCAGCTGTTGACCCATTCCAGCTGTTGGAATCTCTGCAAGTATATTTGCCTAATAAATTCTCTCTTTTGTTTAAACTAGTTTGAGTGGTTTCTCTTCCTTGCACCTAGGTGATCCCCAAGGATGGTGCCACCCCTTAACTGAACCAACGCTGAAAGTGAACAAACAGATAATTGGGCCAAGTTGAGGGTTTTGATCATGGATATTAAAAGGGCCGTTCATTTCTGTATGGTTCAAAGACGGAGGAAAGGGGAGATGAAATAGAACATAATCCTGCAGACTGTAGTTAAAGAGGCCGGGAAGAAAGCTGGGCGGTGGTGGCGCACGCCTTTAATCCCAGCACTCGGGAGGCAGAGCCAGGCGGATCTCTTGTGAGTTCGAGGCCAGCCTGGGCTACCAAGTGAGTTCCAGGAAAGGCGCAAAGCTACACAGAGAAACCCTGTCTCGAAAAACCAAAAAAAAAAAAAAAGAGGCCGGGAAGAAGGTTGCCAGAGGGACTTGATGTTTTTACATTTGCCTTAGTGTGTGTGTGTGTGTGCACAAGCACGCCATGACACACAGATGGAAGTCGGAGGACAACTTGTGGGAGTCAATTCTCTTTCTCCCGCATGGGATCCACCCAGAGGTTGTCAGGTTTGACAGCAAGCGTCTTCACCCACTGAGCCATCTCGCCAGCCCTGGGTTTTTATTACTGTGAATGCATCCTTTCATGTGATTGGTAGACTGCGTAAGGGTGAGGATAATTTGAAGGACTTGAGAATTTTAATTTTTCACAAGAATTTGAATTGGTATCAAGCGCCATCTTTGTAACATTTGTAGGATAGATAGCAGTTTACTGTTTGAGTTCCAGAGTACTAATAAAATAGAGTTATGACGAGTAAACCAAACACTTTCTTGTTTTGTGTGGGCATGTTCTTGTGGATACATATGTGCATATAACTCGAACAGTTAGCCTTAAGGATGGTTCTTCAGAATTACCTATTTTTGTTTGTTTTGAAACAGTCTCACTAAATAGCTCTGGCTGACTCTGTACACTCAGAGATCCACTTGCCTCTGCCTTAATCTCCCACATGCTGGGATTAAGGGCATTTGCCATTACTCCAGCCCTACCTTAAGTGTGAGACAGAACCTCTCGTTGGCCTGTAGTTTGTTAGTTAGGCTAGGCTACCTCACTAGAAGGCCCCAGGGGCCCGCCTGTGTCTATCTCCTGAGCCCCGGGATTACAGGCCTACATTGCCCCTACCCATCCTCTTTATGTGGGTTCTAGAGATTGAACTCGGGTCCTCCTGCTTTCACAGCAAGTGTTTTACCAACTGAACTGTCTCCCCAGCCCCAATTTTAATTACTGGAAAACTGGAATTACCAGGTAACATTTTCAGTCCTTAGGCAGGTGTGTAACTAGAGCCCAGAAGAGATACTATATGATAATCAGAATTTGGAGGAGGAGAATTCTGTATGGAAGAAATGACATTTTGGAAACTTAAAATATTAGCAAAGCATATCACATCCAAGAGTTATTCTGTTTATCTCTTCAGTCCTGTCTTGTAAGTATCCTACCCGAGTGTGACTTCATTTGCCCTAAATATCTGTAGCCCTTGAGCCCAGTCACCTCATTCTCTAGTGCTTTGTGCTTTGGGGGTCTTCGTTGATGATTGTCTCTTCGGTCAAAACTTCCTTGTCTGCTGGGGATGATGGTGCATGCGTGTAATCTCAGCACTGAAGAGACGGAAGCAGGAGAATTACAAGTTGAAGACCAGACTAAATATACATAGAAGAACTTGCCTCAGAACCATCACTGATGTACTTAAGATATGGAAACTTGTAGCTAAATTTGACCTCTTCTACCCTGCCAAGAGCCTATATTTCCCACACTTGACCCGCTTTTTTGAAAGTTAGTTTTGTACTTACTGAGAGCCTGCGTTGTGCCAGGCCTTGAGAACAGATAGCAACAGTAGGAACTTTTCTGTTTTCCTCTGTGTAGCCCGGCTGTCCCGGCACTCACTCTGGCCTCCAACTCAGAGATCTGCCTGCCTCTGCCTCCCAAGTGCTGGGATTAAAGGCGTGCGCCGCCACACCTGGCTTACAGTAGGAATTGAAGATTTAATTCTGTAAGGAAGTTGAGAAGTACCTGCTTTGGGCACAAATCAGGGAAGGCCTTCCAGAGATAAAGAGAAGGAAGGAAGAAGCTCTGTAGTGTGGAGAGCAAATTGTACGCTGGGGAGTTAGGGGAACATGAACTGGTCCTGAAGTAGAAGCTAAAGGCTGGAGAACTAAAAGATTTGCATGTTTTAATAGCACAGGCAAGAAGAAGGGCCCATTCTCTGGATTCAGGGGAAGACGGGGGACAAGAGTGATATATTACTTTGATTACAGTGTGGGATGATGGAGTAGATGTAGCAAGGTCAGATTAGAAGCCCAGATAATTTGTAAGAGTCAAGGTGGCCCAGAGCAGCATTAATCTAACAATGGGGAGAAGGGTGAAATCCTCAGGAATGGGATGTAGAAGTCACAGAAACAGATGACTCCAGCTTCCATCTAGGGCTGGGTCCAGTTATTAATAGGAGCTTAAAAGAAGTCACACGTTCTGTTTAGAATATTGTAGTCATGAGTTGAGGGCCATGGAAGAAATCGAAGCTGAAAATAAGCTTTGTGACTCCTAATCATAAAGCTGTCAGTCAACAAAGACAACCCAAGCCTTGGGCAACCTCTGTGGTAAAGTGTGGCTAAAAGAATAGCTGATGAGATAGTAAATTCTTTGGGAAGTGGAGCTGTGGAAGCCAGGAAAAGTGATATTAAGTCAGCCGAGCAGTTGTGGGGAAAGGTATGTTGGAGTTAGCACAGAGGCCACTAGGCTGTGGCTAGCATTCACTTGGGGTCAAAGGAGAGGACCTTGCTGAGGAATGGCTTGCTTTGAGTGTCCCAGAGATAAAATGCGCTCAGCCATTAGAAGAGTACGTTAGGTGGCAGCAGGGTTGATGAGAGTTCAGAGTCACGGTCAAAGATAAAGGAAATCCTAGAGTGGTGAGGGTCTAGAAAAGCCATCTCCAAGTAAGGAATCCTGGACAATGTAAGAACACAGAAAGTGTGTCCCCTAGTGACTGCCACATCTCACAGTTGCATTGCAGTGAAGGATTAAGTGTCTCCAATCCTGTGACGTGCAGTCTGAATCTGTTTAGGGTGGCCACAAACAGGTTCCCACAAAACGTCTCTAGGAGGCAGGTTGGTGAAGGGAGAAACCAGGGTAACCAGGAGTCCCGTATGTGTAGAAGGAATTGTTGCATGGCGTCTGTAGGGTCTGAAGGAGGTTGAGGGCTGGGCGTGCTGGTGCACAGCTTTAGTGCCGTAGGCAGAGGCGGGTAGAGCTGACTGTGAGGGCAGCCTGGTCTACAGGGTGAGTTCCAGGCCAAGGCCGTGAAAGAAAGGAAGAAGAAGAATTTGGGAGACAGACTTGGACTTGGATCATTTTTATTCATATAAACTGGGGGAAAGACTTCACTATCAGACTTACTCTCTAATAACATTGCATTCAAACCACTGCAGTGTTAATGATTCAGATCAGAAGTTCTGTTCAGCCGTAAAATCCTGTGCCCTCTAAAGAGCCAGTCATTAAATAATATACCTACATACCAAAGGCTTTGAATATCTAATAATTCTGAGTATTTGGCTTAGCACTTGCCATTTTCAAAGCACTTTACAAACTAGTTCTAAATTACATAT